TGCTTTTTTTGAGTTGTAGGAGTTCTTTATCTAACCTAGATTCCAGTCCTTTGTCAGATATGTTTTACAAATAGTTTCTCTCAGTCTGTGGCTTGTCTATTTTCTTAAAGTATTTTTTGATAAGCAAAAGCTTCTAATTTTGATAAAGTCTAATTTATCATTTTTTAAATTGTGATTTAGGTGAAAGTTTACATAGCAAATTAGTTTCTCATCAAACAGTTAGTACACAAATTGTTTTGCGACATTGGTTGCCAACCCTGCAATGTGTCAACACTCTCCCCTTCTCCATCCCAGATTTCCTGTTTCCATTTGTACAGTTTTCCTGTCCCTTCCTGCCTTCTTGTCTTTGCTTTTGAGCTAATGTGCCCATTAGTCTTGTATACTTGATTGAATTATGAAGCATGTCCCTCATGTGTGTTTTCATTGGTGCTATAGACCTATCTAATCTTTGGCTGAAGGGTGAACATCAGGAGTGACTTCAGTACTGAGTTAAAAGGGTGTGTGAGGACCATACTCTTGGGGTTTCTCCAGTCTCTGTCAAACCAGCAAGTATGGTCTTTTTTGTGTGTGTGTGTGAATTTGAATTTTGTTCTACATTTTTCTCCTGCTCTGTCTGGGACCCTCTATTGTGATCCTGGCCAGAGCAGTTGGGGGTGGTAACCGGGCACCATCTAGTTGTTCTGGGCTCAGTCTGTTGGAGGTTGCGGTAGTTGTGGTCCATTCTACTGATCTATTTGTCAATCCAAATGTGGTACAGACTCAGATCTTTTTCTTCTCAGTCTACCTACCTGTCTCCATGGCTATTTTGTATTTTGGTGTGTAAGAAGTAGCATTCTAGAGTTCAGTAACTGGTTATTTTGAAACCAAGAGCCAAGAGTGTTACCTCCTTCAAAGTAGTCAGAGAATACATACTATGATAGTTAAGGTTGTATGTGAACTTGACTGGGTTATGATTCTCAGGAGTTTGGCAGTTAGGAAATGATGTAATTTGGTAGCGATGTAATGACGTAGATATCTTCCATTTTGTGATATAATGTAATCACCTCCATGATGTGATATGATGTGATCAGCCAATCAGTTGTAAGGGGCGGTTTCCTCAGGTGTGTGGCCTGCATCCAATATATATAGACATTCTGGCAAAGTTCGCTTTTTCTCACTCTGGGTTCTGCACTTGACTTGTCTTCATCTGATCTCTGGCTCTGGGAATTGAGTCTGTGGCCTACCATATTGCCTGTCGATCTTGGGATTCGTCAGTCTCTGCAGCCAGTGAGCCAGCAGCCTACTGTCTGACCTGCCAATCTTGGGTTTGTCAGCCTCTGCAGCTATGTAAGTCAGGAGAAGCCTCCAGCCTGACACTTGACCCATAGACTTGGGACTTGCCAGTCTCTACAACACTGTGAGCCATTTCTTTGAGATAAATCTCTCTCTCTATATATATATACATGTATATATGCTTCACTGGCTTTGCTTCTCTAGAGAACTCAGCATAAGACACATATATACAACAAAGATGGTGCCACTGGCTCAAAGCACTTTTGAAACTATCATTTTAGAAAACCCTGAAGAGCTAGTTTATAAACCACTCACAAAAATTGCTTTATAGTCACATATAGCTAATTTTCCAAAGTAAAGTGTAAATGCTGCAGAAAAAAGCCCTGTCTTCCTTTTCAGTATATCCTTCACAGTGCCAGTAACCTAGTACAAGTTCAAAAATATTGCTGAATGAAACGAAGTTCAGAATCAAGTTAAAAATGATACTATAACAATCACTGCACCATAATTTAGAACAAGGGACATTTTAATGCAACTGAGAAAAATAGGGGATAACTATTGTTTAGTTTATACCTTTCTAAATGTTCTATTTAGATATAGACCTCTTTCAGTACTAAAGTACCAGTAGTGGATAAAAACAGAAGTAAAATAAATAAAAGTGTGCAGCACAGTGCACATTTTTAGCTTACAATTAGTAGAGTCAATCCTACAACTTGCTAAAGTGATGAAGATGAGTTTAGGAGGCTTTTATTTGCTACAATTCCTTTTACTAATTATATATACTATAATGTCTATAGCATTCTCTAGACGTAACTTGTTTTTTTTTTACAACATCCCATATAATTTATTTATTTATTTTTGATAGGAATTTTTTTTTTTGTACTTTAGATGAAGGTTTACAGAACAAACTAGTTTCTCATTAAACAATCAGTACACATATTGTTTTATGACATTGGTTAACAACCCCACAACATGTCAACACACTCTCTTCTTGACCTTGGTTCCTTATTACCAGCTTTCCTGTCCCCTCCTGCCTTCTAGTCCTTGCCCCTGGGCTGGTGTGCCCCTTTAGTCTCGTTTTGTTTCATGGGCCTGTCTAATATTTGGGTGAAGGGTGAACCTCAGGAGTGACTTCACTACTGAGCTAAAAAGGGTGTCGGGTGGGCCATCCTCTATTGGGGTTTCTCCAGTCTCTGTCAGGCCAGTAAGTCTGGTCTTTATTTGTGAGTTAGAATTGTTCTACATTTTTTCCCAGCTCTGTTTGGGACCCTCTATTGAGATTCGTGTCAGAGCAGCCAGTGGTGGTAGCCGGGCACCATCTAGTTGTACTGGACTCAGTCTGGTGGAGGCTGTGGTAGTTGAGGTCCATTAGTCCTTTGGACTAATCTTTCCCTTATATTTTTAGTTTTCTTCATTCTCCCTTGCTCCCGAAGGGGTGAGACCAGTGCAGTATCTTACATGGCCGCTCATAGGCTCTTAAGACCCCAGATGCTACTCACCAAAGTAGAATTCTACATGTAACTTGTGATGAACCATTTTTGATGCCTACCTTTTTATGTTGCCTTCTAGATGATGAAGCTCTTGACAGCTCAAGCAATGTACCAAGTTAGTAAACCCTCTTGCCATGGGGAAGTAGGCCAGACCCATTGTCCTGAGTTCTTAAATTGGGTGACTAAATAAATTTATAATGTTTTCACATACATAAAAAGCCGATCAGTTGGTAAATAATTCAATCCACTGATTGACCGTACCATTTGGCCATTTTGAGCTTTGATCTGTCCAGATACAAAATTAAGGAAAAGTAGGACATTAGGCAATAAAACAGATGCCATATCTGCAACCAGATTTATTGCTTAGACATATTAAATGATATTTTCTATGATCAGGTATGTAATCTAAATTTCTGACCCTTTTCTTATTATTAGCCCACTTGAGCTGAGACCATTTGGTGCTATAGTTCTACTTCTATTTCTTCATTATACTTATTTTTCTTGTATGGCTTACAGTTAGTATAAATTCTCATGCCGTAGGCAAAACCAGTCCGTATTCAAGGAACGCTGCTTCTTTTGCCTGAGTCTTATCTTAGCGCCAACATCATTTTTGTAGTTGCATTTACTTTTCTTTGGGCTCTTTCCCATGCAGAGAATATTCTAGGTAGCTTATAAGCCACGCTTGCTTTCAGAAAAATACAATAGACAAACTTCCCACTAAATGTAGGTCTTTGAACTTCCTTAGTTTCTTCCAAGTCCTTAACCTTTTCACCTATAATCATCTTAGCAATAGGACTTAGGCAACTATTACGTAATTGATCATTAGCAAAACAGTCATGGTGGCAAAAAAGAAGTACTTTTCTAATACTTGATGAACATTTAACATCTGGATTGATGCTTCAATTCTCAGTCGATTATTAAAAGGCTCTTTAATTAATTCTACCTTAAGCCTTTAAAACTTACATATAGATTACATTTAAGGCTCAGTCTTCAGCAGTGAAAAATTGTGGGTGATATTCACATTCCATAATATCCAACTAAAATGTTGCTGAAGTTTTGTTTTTATTACATCTTATATAGCCAGGAGAATGTCCTTACCTTTGGAGGTACACGGCTGATGAATTTAGGGGCGAAGTACCATGACGTCTGTAAGTCTTTAATTTACTTTAAAATGGTTATCTATGTTTCTGTCATCTCCTTCTCTATTATCTGTCTACCTACATATGTATAAGCAAATATGGGAAAATGTTAACTGTCAATTTTACATTAAGGGCATATATAGGTATTCATTGTACTGTCTACTTTTCTGTATGTTTAAATGTTTTCGTAATAAACAGTCACCACATTTATTTACAGTCTGAGAAACCAAGTGTTACGACATAATTGCCATGCTCTATTTTCTGGACTTTTTTCACACCCGCAAAATCAAGCAGGTTGTATTATATATATATTTTTCTTCCCCCCTGAACTAAATGGTTTATTCTTTCAAAGCTATTGTTGACAACAGAAAAACAATCATGTTTTCACTTAAAAAAATTGTAATTACCTTCATCATGTTGTTCAACCATCACCCTAATCCATTTCCAATTTTTTCCATCACCCTTAACAGAAACTGTCCCCTAAGCAACGAATTTCCCTTTCCCTCTTATATGTTCTTTAAGGCCCACTTTCAGGTGTGCAGAGCCGTGGTGGTGCAGTGGTTAAGTGCTTGGCTGCTAATCATAAGGTCGGCAGTTCAAATCCACCAGCCGCTCCTTGAAAACTGTATGGGACAGTTTTACCCTGTCCTAGAGGGCCACTATGAGTCAGAATCGACTGTACGGTAATGCGTTTTGGTTTTCCAGGTGTGGAGTCTGAATTCTTGCGGTTTAAAAGCTTTCTACTTGCTAGGAGGGTGAATGCAGAGAGACTGTAAAGAAGAGTTGGACTCACAACTTTTCATTTGAACAATTAAAATGCTGTTGATTAAAATATGCCTAGACCAGAGAGTGTTAAGCTGCTTTAAAAAGAGGAAAGAGATTCGGTTTTTATTTGCCGTTTCCATTCATTCAAGTAGGACATTGAAGCTGCTGATGCTAAGAAATTGTTCACTTTAGTAGAAAGCACCTTTCCTCAGGGTTAGAGGTAAAACGCAAACGGAAAGGCGCCTACAAGAGAAATACACTGGGGAACTGCAGGAGGTATGGCCGGGATGAATTCCTTTTGCTCTGAAAGGGAAATGAAGTTGCGGGTACTCACTTTTCCTCAATCACTTGCTTCTGATACTCTTCATATTCCTCTCTCGTCATGCCTTGAGCTGCTGCAGGATCGGATGGACCGACTTCCTCTTTTTTTTCTTCCGACCCACCACCAAATCCTAAATTCTTTACCTGGTTACTTATCATACTTTTCACAAAGAAAGCCATTGTTTCTACCCCAGAAAAACAAAACCAAAACTAGACAAAACCTGAAAAACAAAACACCAGACAAACCAAATCTCCTCAACAACAGCAACACATTTAGGAGCAAAGGCCTCTGCTCAGCCTCATCTATTCAAGGACACAGTGTGGAGACGTGTGGGTGTCTGTTGGCCATAAGCTGGATTAAAGCTGTGAACTCCTTAGTATACAGGGGCAGATGGTTCAGATTACTAAAGCACACAATCAGATGCAACCGACGACTTTCTGAATTAATACACTAAGCTAATTTTGGTGGAAAAAAAGCCCTCACATTATCTAAGCCTCTCTCTCCCACCCATTTGTAATTTTTTAATTATAAGCACAGCAGGGTTTTGTCAAGAGTCCTGTTTCAATTAAATTAATTAGAGCTGACTGATGATACGGCTGTAGTGGAATTTCCAAATTCCAGCCCTTGAACACAACTTCCTGTAGAAAACAGACTCCAGTGAGACTTAAAACCCAGAATGCTTCATTATGTAAAAATAATCCTTTTGATCCATCATTTTATCTCATCGGGCTCTAAGTACTATGCAAGGACTTGCTTTTCAGCTTGTTTGCATTTCGTGCAGCTTCAATGGCTACTGTGTCCTATATATAAATACAAAACTGAGGCAAGTTTAAAGGACAAGCCAGTGGGTTCTTAATTTACATCTGGAAGATTATTTTAGCCTTCTTCCATAAGCTTCTGTATGGAAATGATACGCTTCCGATGCTCTGAACCAGAAGGTAAGAACATATTTGAACCCAATTATTGGTATGTAACGGGGTCAATTTTTTCTCTTGTGTACAGCTCACTTCCTGGGTGCTATATTTAACCTCACTGGAGTTCTTAGATACAACTTTGGATAATATTTTTTAATGTAGCAGATTCTCAATGGCTGTGGTTTTCATCAGGTCAATGGAGGAATTGAGAATGGCTAAGACTTTAATCTACATTAGTATCTTTCTAATTAAAGCACTCCAAGTGGTGCTGAGGCAGGGAGGGAAAAGATGGAAGCTATTTGTAACCTATGCGTATCATCGCTTATCAGTGGGTATGAGTCCTCGCAGAAAATAGATAACTATCCCTCAGGTTAAAACCAGTTGCTGTAGACCCATAATGACCTCATGTGTGTCAGAGTAGATATGTGATCCATAGGGTTTTCATTGGCTGATTTTTTGAAAGTAGCTCACCAGGCCCATCTTCCGAGGCACCTCTGGGTGGACTCCAACCTCCAATCTTTCAGTTAGCAGCCATGCGTGTTAGCCGTTTGCACCACCCAGGGACTCCATCACTGTGTATGGTAGACACTTAATGCATATTTGATGAGCTGTATTGAAATGCCAGGTCAAACAGTACGGCTCCTTTCTGTTATTCTTTTCTTGTGCACAAACCCAAGGTTATGTACCAGCTGTGCAAAGAAAGTCCTCAGTCACGGTAGCAAAATTTTCGTTGAACTACAGGTCTTAAGGTCATCTTAAATTCTGCTGCTTCAGTACCACCTGAAGAGTTGTTATCTGATAGGTTGTGGGACCATTTTTGACTCTAGGGATCTTCAGCACATTTCAACTCTTTTTCTCCCAAGGTAACCTCTTTAGGAGACGCATCCCACATTAGGAATGCATCTGCCATTTTCCAGTAATGTTCAGGAATGTTGTATCTGAAACTATATCAAAATTCCAAGAGTATTTCTTTTGCCAACACTTTCGTGACTGGTTTATTTCGGTTCACAGATGTAACTTCTTGGTGCAGTGAGGCAATAACTGTATTTCTTTCTGTATCCCTTCTATCACCGAGGCTAGTAGAATGGTGAGATGGTATTAAATCAGAGGTTGTTAGTCTCCAGCAGGACACGCTGGCCTCCATGATCTGGTCGTCAATCTCCATGTCAGTTCTAACACGGAAGGGGAAGATGGGCTGGGAACCAAAGTTTAATTTCCTGACTTATTGTTTCTATAGTGGGCTGACCAGTTTGAAGTGAGCTATGCCCATGCTTGGGGTTCAGGTATATTTGGCTAATTGTATCAAATAGTGGGCTGGCTGGCAATTAGTCTGTTTGCATGAAGTAGTAAGGAGTCTCTCAGGAGAGAACTCAGCCAAAGCAGACCCACTAAGTTCGTCTCAGTTACAAAGCATTCGTTCTCAGAGGCATGAAAAATTCTGAATATGGTGTTTTTCACTCAGGTTCACCTTGCTCAAGGTCCATGAGCTCATTATGACTATCTCCTATAGAGATGAACCTGTAATTAAGTATTGACAACTGTCCTCACTGAGAACTTGAGGACCATGCATCGCTGCTTTAGTACTTTCTTAGCAGAAAGTAATGCGCAAGTGGAGAGAGTCATTCTCCTCCAGTTGGCCACAAATCGCCCCAGAGACTGGCTCCTGGAAGTCTCCATTGCTTCAGTGGGCAGCAGCAGCAGTGAGGGTGCCTGAATTAGATGACAGAAAGGGCTTCAGTGTCTGGTAGGAGAGTGTAACCGTGCCCAACACTAGCAGTGGGACCTGGTGTGCAAGATGGAACACGGCAGGAATGGTGCTGCTGCTTGGCTGGCATAGCAGAAATGGCAGAATCCCAGAGAACTAGCAGTAACGTCCAACAAAGCGGGGGTGAGGCCATAAGGAGTAGCAAGACCTGATGGAAACCAAAGGGGTTCAGAGGAAAAGAAAGAGCAAATGCTATCTGGTAGCTGACAAGGCACATGTCTGGACTTATTTGTGAGTGTCTGAGAAAATTCATGAGACTCTCAACAAAACTTGGGACGTTTCCTCGTTTAACAACTCATGAGCAGGTACAGGAGGAGCCAAAAAGCCTGGGTTGCACAATGTTCCAGTCTAGCTCTCCCTTCCGATTTCCAGACCCATATAATAACAGCTAACATTTACCGAGTGCATGCATCCAGTTGTTAGACTCTGTTGTTGGAGCTCCGGATGGTTGTTTCAAATTACCACTCCATTTTACAGATAGAATGAAGGTATGGATTTATCCTGACTTTAAGCCCATTCTGCCTCTTGGACATTTTTACTTGGATACTTACATCAAAGTCTATGTCCCAAATGAAAATTTACCTCTCCTTCCGTCACCTCCACCCCTGACACTTTTTCTTGTGTTCCCTATTTTAGGGAATGGTACCACCTTCCATCCATTTCCCCGAGCCAGAAACAGTATTATCTGATAACTCTCCTTCTCATTCACTCCCCACATCACATCATTAGGTGCTATTAGTTTTGTTTCTACTATTTTCATAAAATTTCTACTTTTCTGTTTCCTCTGCCTCTGCCTTCCTTCAGGTCATCATTATCCACCTGGAGCACTGCAACTGGTCTCTGTCTCAAGTGTCCTTCCTCCAGTCTATTCTCCATGCATCAGGGACCTTTCTAAATGCAAATGTTCTCCCTCTGCTTAACACTTTCATAGCCTCCCACTGCCCTTTGGATGAAGTCCAAGCTCCTTAAAATAGCTTACAGAGTCCTCTGTATATCCCACCCAATGACCACTTTTCCGTTTAGTCTCCAGCACTGCTTAGCAACTTCAGAACTGCTTATATGTCCCCACAGACACTACACCATTTCTCAAGCTTTTGTTCATGGAATCTTGTCTGCCTGGGACAAGAAGTTCTCTACTAGTCCCTCTTATTTGCACAGCTAATTAATGCCTACACATACTTCAGGACATGGTTCAGGTAACACCTGTGGGAAGCTCCTCTAATCTCCCCACCACTGCTTCTGACTCCAAACAGACAAACAAAAAAACCCACCGCCACTGAGTTGATTCCGACTCACGGTGACCCTATAGGACAGAGTAGAACTGCCCCATAGGGTTTTCAATGCTGTAATCTTTATGGAAGCAGAATGCGGTATCTTTCTCCCATGGAGCAGCTGGTAGGTTCGCACCACTGACCTATCAGTTAGCAGCCAAGCACTTAACCACTGCACCACCAGGACCCTTTAAATATATCTAAGCATCAATTCTGGAAAATTCTCAGCTGTTATAACTTTGAACAGTTCTTCATCATGATTTTCTCTATTCTTTCTAGGATTCCTGTTAGATGTATGTTGTACCCTCTCATTGATCCTCAATTTGTTGTATTTCCCACCTTTTTAATCAGTGCTACATTCTGGGCAATTGCCTCAGATCTACCTTTCAACTCTGTACTTCTTTTCAGCTGTGTCCAATTTGGTATCCAAGTTTAATTCTTTTTTTCACCTCCACACTTAAGTTCTGTTTGGGGTGGTTCTTTTTAACTCCAGCTGTTCCATTTTTCAGTGTTCTATTCCTTATTATTTTTAGTCCTTTTTCTCTCTTCAGTCTTTTTTGGTCATTTTAGCTTATGTATTAGTCTTTTTCAGACTACTATATTATCCCAGATTCTTGGAGGTGGTGAGATTCCTATTTATTATGTCTACTCCCACTCACATTTCTCGTTTGGATTGTAATTTTTAGAGCTCATTTCGGTTGAGGCTGGCCTTTCTGTGGGTGTCTGATGCACCTCAGTTGTGGAATTATTGTAATGCTTGATCAAGCAGAGCAGAGGCTGGGCTGGCCCAAGAGGCCCGATGGCCAGAGAGGCTTGCCTGCAGGCATGGCTGAGAAGAGGCTGTCCTGATTGAAGAACTTTATCCCAAGTCATTCCTGATCCTGAATTGTAACCTGTTACTTCTCTAATAAACTCCACAGTTGTATGATCTGAGTTGTGTGGCCACTGCAATGAATTACTGAACCCAGCAAAGAAGTAGACAGTGCCATGGGAGGGATGGCTGGTGTCAGAATTGGTGAAAAGGTTGGAGAGAAGAGCTATGTCTGACCTCCGCCTCGTAGCAGGCAGTCAGCCTTGGGCTGCTGCTTTTGATTCTCCTTCCCCATTGTGAAGGTAGATGAGGGGGTCTGACGCTGGCGTAGTGCCATCTCTACAGCAGACCATTTCTCTGAAACCTCTTTATAAAGACTCTCTTTTAAAACCCTAACAGCTCTGTACGATGAGTATTATGAGGAAACTGAAGGTCACCTTTAGTAAGTCACAGAGCCAAGTTTCAAACCCAGATTTGGC